GTGCTGGGAGTACAGGCGTGAGCCACCGTGCCCGGCCTAATTTTTGTATTTTTAGTAGAGACAGGGTTTCACCATGTTGGCCAGGCTGGTACTTTGGGCATTCACAGGCCATGGGCCGCAGCTGTGGTTTGTGATGGTCGGGAGGCTGTGTGGTGGTTGCGAGGCTGTGTGGTGTTTGGGGGTGTGTGGTGTTTGGGGGTGTGTGGTGGTTGGGAGGCTGTGTGATGGTTGGGAGGCTGTGTGGTGTTTGGGGGCTGTCTCTTATACACATCTAGATGTGTATAAGAGACAGGTGTTTGGGGGTGTGTGGTGGTTGGGAGGCTGTGTGGTGGTTGGGAGGCTGTGTGATGGTTGGGGGTGTGAGGTCTCCCATACCCTCTCAGTGTACCCTTGTCCCCAGGAAGCATACGTGATGGCTGGTGTGGGCTCCCCATATGTCTCCCGCCTCCTGGGCATCTGCCTGACATCCACGGTGCAGCTGGTGACACAGCTTATGCCCTATGGCTGCCTCTTAGACCATGTCCGAGAAAACCGCGGACGCCTGGGCTCCCAGGACCTGCTGAACTGGTGTATGCAGATTGCCAAGGTATGCACTTAGGGCACCTGGGCTCTTTGCGGGTCCCTTTGGAGCAAGCCCCTATGTCCACAAGGGGCTAGGATGGGGACTCTTCCTGGGCATATGACCAGGGCCAGGCCCTCCCAGAAAGCCAGGCATGGTGGTGCATGCCTGTAATCCCAGCTACTCTGGAGGCTGAGGAGGAGAATCACTTGAACCTGGGAGGTGGAGGTTGCGGTGAGCCAAGATTGTGCCATTGTATTCCAGCCTGGGCAACAACAGGGAAACGTCTCAAAAAAAAAAAAAAAAAAAAAAAAAGTGAAACACAGAATGGCTGTGGTCTACCTGGGTGCTTCCCATTCCAGGGGATGAGCTACCTGGAGGATGTGCGGCTCGTACACAGGGACTTGGCTGCTCGGAACGTGCTGGTCAAGAGTCCCAACCATGTCAAAATTACAGACTTTGGGCTGGCTCGGCTGCTGGACATTGACGAGACAGAGTACCATGCAGATGGGGGCAAGGTTAGGTGAAGGAGCAGAGGAAGTCGGGTGGAGTGGGGTCTGGTCCCTGGGAGAACTCTGAGTGGCCACCTCCCCACCACACACAGTTGGAGGACTTCCTCTTCTGCCCTCCCAGGTGCCCATCAAGTGGATGGCGCTGGAGTCCATTCTCCGACGGCGGTTCACCCACCAGAGTGATGTGTGGAGTTACGGTGTGTGGTGGGGAGTGTTGGGAGGGGTGGGTGAGGAGTCATGGCTGGAGGGAGGATGAGAGCTGGGATGGGGAGAATTATGGGGCCACCTCAGCATGTGGAGGGAGGGAAGGGGCTGCCTGTGCCCCACCTTGCAGGGTCTGTGCACTTCCCAGGATTAGGGAAAGACTGGGTAGATTCTGTCTCCTGGCATCACATCTCCCCCCTGCTGCCATGATGCCAGACTCCTGGGCAGAACCCCTGGCCCTCCCACTCCTGACCCTGTCTCTGCCTTAGGTGTGACTGTGTGGGAGCTGATGACTTTTGGGGCCAAACCTTACGATGGGATCCCAGCCCGGGAGATCCCTGACCTGCTGGAAAAGGGGGAGCGGCTGCCCCAGCCCCCCATCTGCACCATTGATGTCTACATGATCATGGTCAAATGTGCGTGGCTGAGCTGTGCGGGCTGCCTGGAGGAGGGTGGGAGGTCCTGGGTCGAGAAGCCCACAAAGGGCATGAAAGGGGACCAGGATGTATGTAGACCCAGGAACCCTGGTATATTAGGAGCCTCAAAACCTTCTCATATCCCTTTTACAGTCAAAGTCCAAAGCCACTCTTGAGGAACAATTAGAGAACCTTATGTACAATATTAAGCTGGGCACAGTGGCTCATGCCTGTAATCCCAGTACTTTGGGAGGCTGAGGTGGGAAGATCCCTTGAAGCCAGGAGTTCAAGACCAGACTGGGCAACACAGTGAGACCCTATCTCTACAAAAAATAAAAAAATTCGCTGGGTGTGGTGGTGTGTGCCTGTAGTCCCAGCTACTCGGGAGAGGCTGAGGCAGGAAGATCACTTGAGCCCAGCTGAAGGTGGCAGTAAGCTATGATTGCGCCACTGAAATCCAGCCTGGGCGACAGAGTGAAACCTTATCTCAAAAAAATAAAAAAGCAAACAAAAAGAAAAAAAAATTAAAAGGGAAACTAGTAGAGATGCCTGAAGGTTCTGGCTGAAGCCCCCAGAGTCTGGTACTACTTCTCTACCACCAAGGGCTTTGGGCTGTCCCTTGGGACTGTCTAGACCAGACTGCAGCGGGAGTGGGAGGGGAGGCAGCAGGCACACAGGGCCGGGGCTAGATGCTGGCCTCCCTCCTGCCCCAGGTTGGATGATTGACTCTGAATGTCGGCCGAGATTCCGGGAGTTGGTGTCGGAATTCTCCCGCATGGCCAGGGACCCCCAGCGCTTTGTGGTCATCCAGGTACTGGGCCTCTGTGCCCCATCCCTGCCTGTGGCTAAGAGCACCCTCCTGCAGAGGGTGGGAAGGAGAGATGAGTCCGGTGTGCCAGGCCCCTCACCTGCTATGAGCCTTCTTCATGGAAGGCTGCATGCTGGGCTGGGGAGGGGCCACCATCCCACCTCTCCTTCCTCCGCAGAATGAGGACTTGGGCCCAGCCAGTCCCTTGGACAGCACCTTCTACCGCTCACTGCTGGAGGACGATGACATGGGGGACCTGGTGGATGCTGAGGAGTATCTGGTACCCCAGCAGGGCTTCTTCTGTCCAGACCCTGCCCCGGGCACTGGGGGCATGGTCCACCACAGGCACCGCAGCTCATCTACCAGGGTCAGTGCCTTCGGTCACACTGTGTGGCTGCTTACCTCCTCCATCCCCGGTGGACTAGGGTCCCTTTCTCTGATGTTCCCTCAACTGTCACCTCTCAAGGAGACGCCATTATCCCTACAAAAAATTCTTACTGCCTTCCAACCTCTGTGACCCCATTCTCTCCACGGTGACTGTGTCGTACCCCAAAGGTGACCTGTTTTTCTCCTGCGACCCTGTCACCTCCCATGGAGTCCCCATCCCAGATCCATTAAGTGACTCCCATCATGACTTACCTTCTTGTCCCCAGAGTGGCGGTGGGGACCTGACGCTAGGGCTGGAGCCCTCTGAAGAGGAGGCCCCCAGGTCTCCACGGGCACCCTCCGAAGGGACTGGCTCTGATGTATTTGATGGTGACCTGGGAATGGGGGCAGCCAAGGGGCTGCAAAGCCTCCCCGCACATGACCCCAGCCCTCTACAGCGGTACAGTGAGGACCCCACGGTACCCCTGCCCTCTGAGACTGACGGCTACGTTGCCCCCCTGACCTGCAGTCCCCAGCCCGGTATGGAGTCCAGTCTAAGCGGAGAGACTGATGGGCGGGGGAGGGGGGACCCTCAGCCCAGGGTCCACTGTGGGGGCAGAGGGAGTGGCAGCGACACCGGGGTTCCTTCCCCTAATAGGTCATCTTCTCTTGGCCTTTCAGAATATGTGAACCAGCCAGATGTTCGGCCACAGCCCCCTTCGCCCCAAGAGGGCCCTCTGTCTCCTGCCCGACCTACTGGTGCCACTCTGGAAAGGCCCAAGACTCTCTCCCCAGGGAAGAATGGGGTTGTCAAAGACGTTTTTGCCTTTGGGGGTGCTGTGGAGAACCCCGAGTACTTGGCACCCCGGGGAGGAGCTGCCCCTCAGCCCCACCTTCCTCCTGCCTTCAGCCCAGCCTTCGACAACCTCTATTACTGGGACCAGGACCCATCAGAGCGGGGGGCTCCACCCAGCACCTTCAAAGGGACACCTACGGCAGAGAACCCAGAGTACCTGGGTCTGGACGTGCCAGTGTGAACCAGAAGGCCAAGTCCGCAGAAGCCCCGATGTGTCCTCAGGGAGCAGGGAAGGCCTGACTTCCACTGGCATCAAGAGGCGGGCGGGCCCTCCGACCACTTCCAGAGGAATCTGCCATGCCCGGAACCTGTCCTAAGGAAACTTCCTGCTTGAGTTCCCAGATGGCTGGAAGGGGTCCAGCCTAGCTGGAAGAGGAACAGCACTGGGGAGTCTTGGTGGATTCTGGGGCCCTGCCCAGTGAGACTCTAGGGTCCAGTGGATGCCACAGCCCAGCCTGGCCCTTTCCTTCCAGATTCTGCATACTGAAAGCCTTAGGGAAGCTGGCCTGAGAGGGGAAGTGGCCCTAAGGGAGTGTCTAAGAACAAGAGCGACCCATTCAGAGATTGTCCCTGAGACCTAGTACTGCCCCCCATGAGGAAGGAGCAGCAATGGTGTCAGTATCCAGGCCTTGTACAGAGTGCTTTTCTGTTTAGTTTTTACTTTGTTTTGTTTTTTAAAGATGAAATAAAGACCCAGGGGGAGAATGGGTGTTGTATGGGGAGGCAGATGTGGGGGGTCCTTCTCCACACCCACTTTCTCCATTTGCAAATATATTGTGGAGAACAGTTAGGCACCGGCCTATGTCTGGGGGTAGCTCTGCACCATCCCTTCCTGCTCACCTTACACTCAACTCCTCTTTTCCTGGAGGGAGTGGCCAGGAATCTTCAGAAAGCTTGGATGAGGAGCCTGACATCCAGTTCTCTAGCTTCAGGGTTGGGGGGGATCGGGAAGCTGGATTCGGATCTGAGAGCCCTTTAACAACCAGATCATTCTTTCTTAGAACGAATTCCTAAGGCCACTCACCAGAATGGGGTTATTTCCTCCTTGTGAGTCAGGAGAGTGGCGGTTGAGTGGGCGAAAGACGAGGCAGGATCTACTGTGGGACTCATTTTCCTTGCCTTGGCTATGGCAGAGGAGCTCACTGACCTAAGGAGTAGCTGTCCAGAAAGCCCACCCAAGCCAGCACAGCCACCCTGGCGGTACAAAGGCTGGGCCGGCCGGACTTCTGTGCCCCCCACATTCCCAGATTGGACATATAAAAACACACACTAGTTAGCATTAGTGTTTGTAGTGCCACTTTACTGCCAATGGCTGACATTGCCCTGGGTTGGGGAAAATAAATAAAATCTACTGTGGCATCAGACAGGTATTACCGAGGTGAAGAGTGGACCAGGCTTTTGTGGGCACTTATCCTGGGAAGGGGGTATAAGGTGGCTGGGGAAGTGTCCGTGGAGAGTGTCTCTCTCCTGCCCCCAAGGCCATGGAATCTTATTCCTTCCTTGTACCCAAAAGGGCAAAGTGGAGGCCAGGGTCTCTTTGCTAAGGAGCTAAGTAGGGGAAAGAGGCAGGGGGAGCTCCCAGCAGGACCAAAGGGAGACCAAGGCTTGGACCCCAGAACAGAGCAGGAACCCAGAATCCTGTGCAGTCACAGGATGACGCAGGGAGGACGGCTGTTGGTGATCTTTTCTAGGGGTTCTCCTTTACTGGCTCTTCGGATGGCCTCAATGAGCTAGAGGACAGAGATGTGGAATGACAGGATGATGCACTGTTGGGGTAGGATGACCCAGAGGTCCTCCCAACACTGCAAATACTCACATCTTTCTCATAGGGAAAGCCCCCATTCTCCAGCTTGGAGAACACCAGCTGTCCATTTATCTCTATCTCAAAGGCACCTGGTAAGAAATCAACAGATAAATAAATGGTACACTGAGAACACAGGCAGAAATCAGGAGTTCCTTCAAAGGGGTCCCCCACCACTCCCACTGGAGACCCATTTGTAGCTCCTTCAGCCATTCCCCAACCCTGGGTCAACTCCAGGGAACCTGAGGGAGGCCTCGCCTGTGTGCCCCTGGCAACAATGAAAGACTCCCTCCCCTCCAACCCTACACGATTGCAGTCTAATAGGTTTTTCCCCCGCAGGCCTCTGTGAATCCCCTGACATATGGAAGGGAACTCATGTTGGCTGGACATTTTACCATGTGCCAGGCACTGCAGGCACTTTACATAAAGCAGCCAATGTCAGAACTAGAAAGCGGGAGAGCTGGGATTTAGAGTACAGACTGACTCAGCAGGTGTTCCATGAGCCTCACCTGTGCCCCCCAGGCGCGACTCGATCTCGATGCCCGGATACTGCTCCTTCACAGCACTGGCCAGCTCCAGGTAGGTCGCCTCGAAGCCGCAGGGTTCACTGGGGAGAAGAAATGGGGCTGGGCTGGGGACTCGGGGGTGGGGCCTCCCGTGGACCCACCTCCGTCCGGCCCACGGGACCAGGGTAGGGGTCCTCCAGCCGGGACCGCTCACCAGTACTCCACCATGATGCGGACCCCACTCCCCGGCTCCACCTCCTCGGGAGGGGGCACTACGGACGTCTGCCCCGGATCCCCGCTCATAGCTGCCTGCTCCGCTCGGGCCCCTGCTTCCGGGTGTGACGCGCTCAGCGGGCACGTGACGGGGCGGGGCCTCTGGAGCGTGGCGGGGCCGAGCGTGGCGTTGGGGCGGGGCCGAGCGTGGCGTCCGGGCGCCCCCTGTAGGCCTCCGCCATTGCTACGTTTTGACCTCGTACGGCAGCTCCGGAGCTCGCGCCCCGGGCAGAGTCTGGGAGAACCGGTACAGACCCTCCTTCCCCGGCCCGGTCTCCCGGAATGCCGGGCTTCCCCACTCCCGATGTCCGCCGGACTTCACGGCTTCATTTACTCTAATGGACTATCTTAGACTGCAGAGCGCTTTTCAGTTTACAAAAGAAAGAGAAAGCGGGGGGCAACCATCCTGGAGATGGGAGTGGGTGTGGCTGATGTATGAAATAGTTGACATTTTCTCGCTCACATGCTGATGGCATTTGATTTTTTTTTTCACTCTTGTTGCCCAGGCTGGAGTGCAATGGCGCGATCTCGGCTCACTGCAACCTCCGCCTCCGGGGTTCAAACGATTCTTCTGCCTCAGCCTCCCAAGTAGTTGGGACTACAGGCGCGTGCCACCGCACCCGGCTAATTTTGTGTTCTTAGTAGAGACAGGGGTTCACCATGTTAGTCAGGCTGGTCTCGAACTCTTGACCTCAGGTGATCCACCCTCCTCGGCCTGCTAAAGTGCTGGAATTACAGACATGAGTCACCGCGCCCGGCCCAGTTTTTTGTTCGTTTGTTTGTTTTAGGAGAGACAGGGTTTCACCATGTTGGCCAGGCTGGTCTCGAACTCCTGACCTCAAATGATCTGCCCGCCTTGGCCTCCCAAAGTGCTGGGATTACAGGCGTGAGGCACCACGCCCGGCGCTGATGCCATTTGGAACAGCCCTATAGTTACATACCCAAGTGTTTCTGATCCCAAAGCTCTAAACTGCTTTTTCCAGTCTTTTGTAACTGCCTCTTGCCTCCACTGGAGAACCGTAGACACTCTTCAGGCTGTGTGCCCCCAACAGTTCCTGCACATCCCCTTCTTATCCAGCCTCTCACTGGGGGACTGGTGTCATTATTCCCGTTTTGCAACTCTGGAAATGGAGGCTGCTCAGGTCCTTGCTGCCTTTTCCCTGCCTGCAGTACCTCTATGGTATCCTAGCACGCCACCCACTCTAGTGTCCCTTTAGACTATTTTTCTTTTTCTTTTTCTTTTTTTTTTTTTTGAGACAGAGTCTCGCTCTGTCGCCCAGGCTGGGGTGCAGTGGCCGGATCTCAGCTCACTGCAAGCTCTGCCTCCCGGGTTTAGGCCATTCTCCTGC